TTTTTTGATTGGGAAATTGTGTTTCCCCTGTGGACCATGAGGTTTTGTCTGTGTCTTACTGCCTGGTTTTCCTGAGCAGCTGGTCCCAAGCAGACATGGGAGGTCACCTCTTGTGTGTTTGAAAATTCACAAGAAATACTAATCAGAAATGAGATTCTAAGATATTACATGTGCACAAAGAGTTAGAAGAGAACACAGTGGCATTTATAATGCTCCATACAGGTCTTAAGTATAAATGTTTCCGTGTATTAAGAAAGTGCCACCTTAAACTGTTCAATCACTCTGTATAGGCTGCAGCTCACTCAACAGTAAAGCTTAGGCCTGTTGCCAACCTCCCCTCAGTAGACAACACAGGATTGCTCCATCATATTCACTCTTTTCTCTCATGCTGCTGTTTTCCACCCTTCTTGGCCAGGCCCTTTTTCCCCAGCAGAGCAACTGGTAAGCAACCAGTACCTTACTTTTATCATTAGTCTCAATTCATGGAGTCATTGCCTGTAATAAGGTGCAAATCTAACCGTTAGTAGAGCTTCAAGAGCTTTTCTGTATGGGTGGCATACACAAAAGTCATGGATGATTTGGGCTAGGCTGTCATGGACATCTTGTCTGGTTCTGTCAGCAGAGCTAAGCCAGGGAAAGGTTCGGCATGTGCTGTAAAAGCTAAACCTTGACCCAGCCGTGAGAGAGGCAGCTGTTTAAAATGAAGTCAAACGAAGCCATTTCAGTATTGACTGAAATACTTAATCTTATCTGCACTGACTACTGCTAACATATTTTCCACTCAGTTACAAGCAGTGGGATAACCCAGGTCAAAGATCAACCAGATGGATTCTCCGTCCTCAGCTGCCCTCTAAGGACAGGGCTGGGAGGCAGGACAAACCTTAACACAGGCCATCATCCCTATGGCCTTACACCTTTGCCCTTGGACACAGGGGGAAAATGAACCAGATGCAATTGGCTGGTGATATGGTTTTCAAGCCAGAGGAAGTTGGAGTCTCCATTGCCAGAAGCCAGTCAGCTGCCAGCAAAGTATTTGCGTGAAGACTTGCCTAACATCTTCTGGCTGACAAACTGCGTTATATGTCTGTCCCTGTGCCCAGGAGTAAGCATCCCAGTTTTCTACCTCAACACGCTGTGTCATATACAGCCAAAACTGTACACTGCTCATGGCCGTGGTCTCCAAGCCAGGTCCAAGACAGAGCTGATGTCAGGGACCTGCCTTGAGAAGAAGGGGAAGGAGCTCTGTCCCAACAACTTGCTGACACCAGAGCCCTGAAAAAATTAGCTTAGCAGCAGGCAATTTCCGAGCCAAGAAAAGGCAGATCAGCAGCTGCTGGAAGCAGAAACTCCTTCGCAAGTTCTGGTCCTCTCTGTTATCACCCAAGCTGCTTTCCTGACTTTTAGCAACAGCTTTTTGTTAATTAGGTCATGCGTGGCCATTGTATGTGAAGTGCTACACGATCCAGTAGGAACAGTGTTTTGTGCCGGAGTCTTTTCACTTCTTAAGTCTCTCTTTTTCTTTGCTCTCCAGGTTATGCTGAGACAGAAGGAGGGACTTGGAGAGGGAAGATTAACCTTTCGCTGGCCACAATTCGTTCCCTCTTATCACGGAGGATTTGGCAACCCTCCCCCCTCCCATCCAGCCTATCTGTCTGAATTGCTGAAAGCATAATGCTCCCATACGAGAGATAAGTAAGTGAGCTCTCTTTCTGTTCCATAGGGATGAACTATAGTGTATGCAGATTATTAGGAGAAGAAAATAATATCAGAGAAAGGTGGCTTTCTTAAAAGGCATCGGTAGCATTAGTGTCATGTGTGAAACACCCATTTGTGACAACTGTACAGATCTTTCAATGGAAAATTGTGCCGTGCTACCTTTTAAAGTATGAAATGCTAATTTTGGATTTACAGTTTTTGAACTGGAGGGCTGTATTTTGCATGGAATTTTGTTTAATTTCCCAGTGAAAAAAGGCATTTGAAACACAACTGCCTACAGCCAACTGTCAACAAAAATCAACTGTAATAACACGCAGCCTGTCACTGATTTATGTGGTGATGTGGTAATCTTCTCAATTTAGCTGGATATTTCTTCTTCATACCAAATAGCTGAAAGTCTTGCTAGACATTTATGAATATCAGGAGGTACTATTAGGATGATAATGGGGCAAGATTAAAGAGGTGTTCACTAGTTCAAAGTGCCAGTTAAAGAGACAGAGAATTGAGAGGTATAGATATATATGGCCCATTGGTATAAGTGAACTTTATATTTTCAGAGTTGCTTAAGATTTGGGAGACAGCATATTGAGATCCATCTGCCATGAGAGCATCTTTCTAAAGGGAAACTGGGGGGAGCAGCTATACACATTCCCCCCCCCCCCCCCAAAAAAAAATCTGCTTTTGTTTAGCAGGGGATGGGTTGAAAATCTTGAAGATGAAGCAAATGGGTATGGGTGATGTTAGGGCAAAACTGGGTGCTGAGACTCTTCACCCTTTCCTCTGAAGGTCTGAGCTTTGGACATGGTCACTTTGCTGCGTCTCAGCGAGAACTGGCAAGTAAGATATCACATGCTGTGTATTACAGCTAAGAAAAGTAGTTGGCCTCTCATAAAAGAGCTAGAACTAATGCAGACAAAACGATGCTGCAAGACTTGAGCTGCAAATAAAGAGACAAGTTTGTGTTTTACAAAAATGTATAATTTACCAGGCATTTCATTATGCTGTATAAAAAGGCAAAAATGATAATTGAAAATAAATGTGGCTGCCTAGCTACAGTATATGCTGCCAGCGTTACTGTAAATAGAAGCGCTTTCTTGCTGAAGATAGTTGAAATTTTGATACAACTTCTGTCTGCAGATTTGTGTAGTGTATCTCGTTAAATTTGTTTCAGTTTGGGTATTTGTTGCAGAGAAGCAGGCAAAATGTGAAGCTCTGTCTGTGTATTTGTGTACTGAGGGGTTTATACGACTACATTCATTATTAACACCGTACTCTGCAGATGCACACATCTGTGGAGTCTGAGAGAGGATACGTGTTGGTGAGTGCATTTCAGGGTAGGCAAAGTACACCAGGTACTTTTAAGTTTGCCAAAGATATTCCATAGCAAGCTCCTGTCTTCCAAGGAGCATGGTTACAAATACACATTCACCAAAGCAGTGTTGTAGGGTTATTTTTCCCTGAAGCAAAGGGAACTTTGAACTGCCTTTTTTCATAGGCAGCATGCAAGGATGGGGCTACTTGGGGGTGCTGAGAATTACTGAAGAAGGAGAAAATGGGTCCATGAATTGTCATTGCTTCTGCTTTGACAGCTTCTTTCTGGCCCCCGTCATCCTTTGGGTAAGAGCAATTTGCCACAGACACATTGTCCATCTGTGTCCTAATGTCTGCCTGGTGCTCCCTACATGCAAAATGGGAATCTTTCCTGAGGGAGTGTTCTGGGGAAAAAAAAAACCTCTCCTGGATTGAGATATTTTCCTATGAGACTTTTAATTTCTCAGTAGAGGGAGCAGCAAATGGCTTTAGGCTCACTTCATGGTGTCTGCTCATGTCCTGCAGCAGCAAAAGGCTGTGCAGGTTACTCAAGTTATGAGTGAAGCTACTGAGTTTTCATTAGCTGTGGAATTAAGCTAAAAAAGCAAAGGTAAGAGGCCTTGCCTTGACAGAAAGAGGCTTGTCACCACCAAGCTGGCTTTGGAGGCCACGGAGGTAGGGTCAGAGAGAAACAGCAAACGCAATGAGTTGCTTGTTGGGACTCCCATACCACAGAACCCCCAATAGGATGGATGTAATAGGAGCACCATGGACCAAGCACTGGGAAATAAACTGATCAGAAGGAGAATTATATTTACATGTGTGTGTTTAGATCCAATGTTTAAAATTACCTTTTTTTTTTTAAGGCTTATTTTCCATTTGGACTCTTTTTTTTATCTATAGACTCAGCTGGGCTGCATTGTTCAGACAGTCATGGTTGTGTTTGGATGGGTCAGGCCCTCTGAATTCACTTGGCCTTCAAGCAAAAAACTCATCATGAATAATGAAAGAAAAGGAAAATAATGCCTGAGACAGAATGACTTAAAAATGATTAATATCTATTCTTTCCTTCATAATTTGCCTCCAGACTTCTCCCTTTTCAAGATAGCTTGCCATTAGCAGTTGAACTTCCAATAGTCAGTACTTTGATGGAACTGGTGCTCTGAAGCCAAAGAGAACATTAGTATTTTTATTATTATTATTATTATTATTATTATTTTATGAAATCAAGGTTCATTTTGACAAGTTCAAAGCCCCAGATGAATACAGGAAGGGCCAAGTTCTGCCCTCAACCACATCTAGTTTGCTCAAATTGGCCACTTGAAACACAGCAATGTTTGCCAGAGACATACTGAAATTCTTGAGACTATGGAAGTGTAAACACCACTTTAAGGTTCCCATCCAGTAACTGCGTATAGAAAAGCAGGTCTTGTGCAGAGCATCACAGAGAGGATTTGTGGTGAGAAAGGAACAGGATACATCAGGGGTGCAACTGATGGCCACCTTGAGTGGCTCAGCGGCCACCACTCAGATTCCCAATGTTTTGTCTCAGGCAGGAGATCTCCTTTCTCCAAAGGCTTTTATTAAAAGCTAATTCAGGTAAATGCTGACAATAAGCAAGCAAACCTGTTGAGCCCCGTGTCCACAGCTTGCCAGGGAAGAGGATGCTTCCCTGTGACATTAAAGAGAGCTAACAGCTGAAGAAAATATTGCATGTTTTACCCTTTCTATTTAAAATAACAACAAGAAAGCACTGCTTTTGCAATTGCATTTAGGTTCATTTCCAGCACCTCCCATCGCCAGGCTCTGAAGTTTCCCAGCTACCTCATTAAAGGAACCATTTCCTATAGTGCCCTGGCCATGATTTTGAAATAACCCAAGGTAGCTCCATCAACCCCCAAAGCAGCTCCACACCACTATGTAGGGTATGCTGAGTCAGGGTTGGGATGAATGCAGAGCAATTATAACCAATGAGCTGAAGGAAGTTAATTAGTAAATTCCAAGCACCTGTGGAGCTCTTTCCACAGCAGTTGGAGCTTCTGTTTTCTCTCCCAGCACACAGCTCTATTGCACCTTGCTTTACCTTCCATCTGAACATCTCCATCCAGCCATATGGGTGTCATTCGTTGTCTTGGCCTATCCTGAATTTTGGGTAAGTCTTTGTGTTATTCCTGAAGATTTATGGCTTTGTAGCATGACAGTGCTTTAGATTTTGGTGAGATGAAGAGCAGAGATAGTTTCATGGTTGTAGGACCTGAAGTTGCTCCTTTCCATGGCAATTGCAATGTGGAGTAGTTGCTTGATGTGAAAGATGGTGGTTTTGTCTTTTTGTGGCAAGAATCTAATAATTGTTTTACTTTTTAATCCCTTTACCCACGTGTATGTTTATTTCCTGTTACATGGTTCTGCTTTCTTGGCATGTTTAACCTTTGGATACCTGTACGCATGTATTGCCTCTCTCGTGACTCTTAGCTGACCATCTGTGGATTGTAGCAAGGTTTTGTGGGAACTGATACTTAAGAAAGTCAGATTCTTTGATTTCCTGTCAAAATAGTGGCTGATGATTTTGTTTGTAAGGGTGAGACGTGCTAGTTCTGCGAGCATGATGGTCTGTGCAGTACCTGAAGTCAAAACTGTTAATGGTCTTCAGTCAGGCAATGCTCCTGTTGAGTACATGGGGTTTAGCCCTGGTTAAAACAGGGATTGCCCCAGGTTTCTGCTTTATCCTTTTCCTGGTGTGTCTGGTCCTGGAGGAGGGTTGGGATAACAAAAAGTGAATCTTTTCTTCCAGGGCTGCACTTTCAGAGCAGGGTTAACACAGGCTTCAGGGGTCCCAGCTAAGCTCATTTGCGAGCCTGTGGTCACAGCTGAACTCCATTACAACACTGAAGGGTAAAGGATGGCTGCAGAGTACTGAGTTGCTCCTAGAACTTTCTGTGCCTTTTGAATCAGGCTCTGTGTTAATTATCTCTGCCTGTGCTAACGGGTGGAAGGAGGCCTTTTAATGTATGCCAGGAGATAAAGCTACTTGTGTTGCCCACTGAAAGCATGGCAACCTCAGCTTAAATGGCTGAACCTGTGTCAGGTGCCCTGTTACAGGCACTTTAGTGGCTCAGGGGAGCAAGGCTTGTATGGCATAAACCCCCTCCCCAAAGAAAATCCCTCTGATTCCAAAGGTTTCACCTGCAGCATAGAGCAGTCTGGGTTTTAAGATGTAAAAATGCACTTGTATATTATCTGCAGATATAATTGAATGTATATTCAAGTCCACGATAGGTACACCTGGGCTGCCTCCCTGGCATGCATAAGTATTCTCCGCATGCTTTGTGCGTTCCCTGCAATCTACACTACACATTAATATGACAATCCATATATTGTGTTAGGACATGCTGTATGCAGACAATGCTCCAGGTACTGAATTTTTATATATATATATATTTTTTTTTTGTAAACCCTGAAATATGGCTGATATGGTCCACTGCAAAATGAACCTATATTGGAAATGGCAAAATTGTAATGTAAAATATACTGGGGTCAGTGGGGTGTGATGTTTTTTGCATACATTTTTTCTCCCTTGACCCATGCCATTCTCCCTCATATAGGGGGAAAAAAGCTTCATCTCACACAGAAATGTGATGTCCTTTACTGCCAGAGGCTCTTGCTGTTTTAAATGAGGAAAAAGCACAATGCATGAAGAAGGAAAATTAAAGCATATTCATTTTGGAAATTAGATACGGTGTCAGGAGACTCTCTGGAAATAGCAGGGTTTGAATGGAGCACCAGACTACAAGACAGTTCACTGAACTTTTGACCACTATTTATACTATGGGAGCTTTTGAAATGGGAAGACAGCAAAGTATTTTATAGCTGTTTAATAGCAGATTGTGGTTTTTACTAGACATTTATCTTCCCTTGGAGTGTGTATAAGATAAGTAAACATTATGTAGTGTAATTGTGTTGTGTTGGAAGCGCTTTAATTTAGGGTTGGTTTATTTTCCCTGTTTGTGGTACATCTCATCTCAAGCAGCAATGCTGCCTGCCTCTGTGAGTGCATGCACTTGCCACCCGAATGCCTGACCCATCCTGGGATCTGAAAGGGAACTCCTGGGATCTAAGGACTGATGGTTACGTATTGGGCAAAGCATTACATCTTAAGCAGGGCTGGTTGTGGCCCTGGATGCTTTGGGAAGCTCATGTAACTTCTAGCACCAGGCCTGGCTTAATTTCTCTCTGATTCTATATAATGAAACTCAGTTTAATCTCATATAGGGCTTCAGTCCCTCTTTAACATTCCAAGTACACTGAGCATTACACCCTTCCAGGGTTGGCAGCTATCTCATTACAATTGTAATGATGCATCACCAGGCAGACATGCATGAATGAAACGCTGTTTGCAAAACCAGAAATGTGTTTGGGGTATTTTTAGGTCCTATTAACTTGGGCTGTTGTTAATGGAAATAATGTGGAAAGATCAGAATTTTGATGTAATCCAGAAAACGTTGTCTCGGAGCAGTTTTTAGCCCCTTAGTCAAGACTCTGCTTTCCCTTCTCCCTTTTCTTTCTGTCTACATAAATTTAGCTTGAGTTGGCATGGGGAAAGTTGCACCGTGGCACTGGGTGTCAGTCTTCTGGGAGGGAAGTGCTCTGGAGAAGGAGCTGCCACTATCAAACCTGCAGCTGAAGGTTCAAAGGGAGTTGTGCTATACTGTGATAGCTGCACATGGTGCTATTTCTGTTTTACCCTTTTTTTCTTTTCCCCCTGGAGATGATTATAAAATGGATCTGTTAGTGCTTAAAACTGTGGACACTACAATAAAGCCTTTTTTTCTCTATTTTTGTGTGATATTTGGAAAGATTAAAGCTGATGGACATCCATTGTGTAGTCCCTTTGTCTGCTGTTACTTAGCCTTCCATACAGTATAGCCTATGTGGGAAGGAAAAAAAAGATTCTCCTTCTGCCATGGAAGATGCTTTTCTTCCTTGGACTAGAAGCTCCTCTCCTATCACTAGCCAGTAACAACCCTTCTGTTCATCCTTATGTCAAAGCCACACTACTGAGCTAATAGAGATCGCTGACAATTAGAGATGAGCTGAAATGATTTGGCAAACTCCGGGTGCTTGTGAACCTGAGGGTGTTCTCAGATCCCCACAAGCCTGTCGGGTGTATTGCCAGCCGTGTGCTTCCCACGTCCCCCGTCCTAATAGGGAGAGCAGTTGGGACATTGAGTCCAGCTGGGCCCGGAGGTTGGAGGAGAATGAGAGGGGGAGTCTATCAAGATGCAGCTCTTCCCTGCTGAGAGATGCAGCTCTTCCTTGCTCTTCCCTGCTTCCCCTCCTGGCTGCTCTTTGTTGCTTCTCCTTGCCAAGACGTCCCAGGCACTGTCAGGTTTCTTCTCCCTGTGTGAGATGGATGTGACAAGATCCCAGGGTGGCTCTCTGTCTTTTGCTTGTGAGTAGCTAGATGGGCCATATCTGGAGATGCCACTTGAACAGACAAGACAGACAATGCATAAGATAATGTTTTAAAAGGAACACAAATTCCCTATTGGCAAATGCCTCGTCAGGTTTTCCATTTGGTTTGTTTCCTCCTTTTTCTAATGGCTTTTCTTTGTATTATTTTCTTTTCCTCTGGTCTTATGAAGCATTTCTGTCCTGTGCTCCCCAGTTGATTAAGGCGATATCATGAAATACCTTGAGACCCTATTTATGCCTGAACCTTATAGGGCAAGTGGTAATTTTGGATGGTTTCCTTACTTTTCATTCAGTTTTAGATGATTTGAAGGTAACAACCTGAAATAATATCCCAAGTAACCCTCGTTGGAAAAGCAACCAATATTAACATACTCCAAACACGTCTTCAAATTTAGAGTATGTAATGAGATGGTCTATCACTAGAAAAGGTGACTGATTGATGGCTAAGCTATGGCCAGCAGCTTGTCATCAGGAACATGATTTTCACCTTGAAAAACTGAATTTACCTTTCATGCTCATCACAGACCTGGGCCAGCCAAGAAAGCTTTGCTCAGTCCCAACTAGCTATTCGTGGTAATATGGAGAGAAGCTGGTTCCCCAGCCTCATTAGGGAGCTGTGCTGCAAGAAAACTGCTTAGGGAATTGTTGTAAATCACTTGAATCCCATGAAACTGAAATGAAGAGGTGTATTTTCATTATATTATTTTATTTTTTTAAGGCCCCAGGGTCTCTTTCTTTTTCATCATGGTATGGAAACCTGTACTTCAGCCTTCCCATCTGCCAGAGTGTCTATTGTGAAGACTTTGGAAATATCTTCTCCTGAAGGCCAGTAAAACTTTTAACCTGCACTACATGCAAACTTATGTCTATTAAATAGTAGTGGTGAAGAGCATCAGGTGGCCAGACCCTAGAAATTGGCAAGTTTTGATATGTGGGCATATGAAATGTATCTACCTAGCTTCTAGAAACAAAGAGAGGGACCATGCTGACAGTTAGATCTTTATCCTACATGACCATACATGCTTTGCCGTATTAAAACGTAGAAAACCAGAGCAGAGCAAAGGCACAGAGGTAATCAAACAGGAAAACAAATGACTTGGCCTCATCGTTTGCATCGTAGACCATGTGAACAAGTTAAACACAACTTCTTTGTGTGCATGAAGAGATAACAGATCCACATTAATTTTAGAGCTGATTGCCATTCTTTATTAATAGAAATGTAATGCAGTGCCAATGCCAAGTCCTGCCAGCCTTTCCTTTTTATCTTCTTTTTCAAACATAGACAGCATTGAAGGTCTGATCGTTGTATCCTCTATTTATTTAGGAGCTGGTTGTTAAGCCAGGGGACAGCAATGGCACCTTGTCATGGCTGAGGTGATGATGTCTTGTCAGCAAACACTGTAAATAGCCCTTGGAGATTTTTTCTGAGGCTGAAAATAGTTTCTGTAGAATAATGCTAACTTAATATAGTTTCATAAATTGAAAAGAATTGAATGAATGACAGTAGGTTTGTGAATAATTTGCAAATTGAAACAGTGATAGAATTCGTCAATGTGTTCTCTATTAATAGTTTGCTCTGCTTTACATAGCTGCCGAGCAGTCTTGGTTCTGATTTTTTTGAGGAAAAACTGCATGCTTCTTATTATTTTTGTTATTTTAGTACTTTTTTTTTCTATTCTA